ACAGGAGAAAATCCTAGTGTGGAGGTAACGTATTAAAAAAAAGAATATTTACAGATTTTGCGGTCATATTCATCATAGTCATCAGGCTCCTTTACTGCCTAAGAATTCGTCTAGGTAGGTACCGCCTTTTAGATATTGCTGCCGCTTAGTAGGATTGCATCTACTGTTATATTCCAGTTTCAGGAACAAGAAAGCTAGTACAGTCATAATGCATCTGTAGATTTCTTTATATTTCGCTGTGGCCGCATTGATCCTAATAACCACTTACCTACACGGGAACAATAAATTTTGTTATTTAATTTCTATTAAATAATACTAATTTATCGAAACCAAATATATAATTTTACACTATTACCAGCATGAAGTGACGGACTAAGAGTCCACAATCCATAACCCACTACCCCGTTATATCCTCCCGCGGATATCTTTCTACAACTCAATATAATATAATAACTGCATCTGTCAACCCGCATGCCGAAGCGCAAGGACTTTGGCAGATATCACCCTTATGATGCAGCCGCAGAAAGCAGCAGATGAGGGAAGGCCTATTTTTGACAGAAGGCAGTAATGAAATGATGATATATGATGATGATGATGAAATTAATATTATGGAACTACTCCAACTATAAGTTTGCAACCCTATGTAGGTATCAATATTTTATTCATTCTTATTTTTTTTTAATTCAAATCGCTGAATCTAAAAAATGTATATTTTGTCTCGAAAATTGTTTTTATATATTTAGAAAACTTACAATAATATAAGTCTACCTTTTAATAATAATAATTGAATTTATTGTATATCAAATTAAAAACATTTAACAATTTTATTATTTTGCTATTTATTACTTCGTTATTACATTGATATTTCACACATGTGCTCATTTACTTTAAGGACGTTGTTCGCCACAAATAATGCAAATTGCAAAACCATCTGATTTCTGCGATCCGCGCACATAAAAACCCCAAGAAATTGCAATAATGAAAGCGTCTGGTTTCGTTTGTAAAATATAAATTTCAATCACCTCAAAACTTCTTCAAACGTCTTTGTTACATATTTACGATAATCGTTTTATTTTTTATTCATATTTTCTTTATTGCATTTCCTACTACAAAAGAATACAAGGGGAGGACTTAATGCCATGAGGAATTTTCTACCAGTCTATAAATTTGTCTATATTTAATACCATAATTCATATTTAAAACATTTTCCTCTACATACAACTAATTTCGAATATGTAATGTACTCTTCTATTTTCATTTATAATACGTAGCTTTTCTTTTAAAAGAACTGAATAATTCTCAAAAGAAATTCCAATAAGGAACTTCGAAGTAAATTCTTTATATTGCGAGAGAAAAGCATTGCGTCTACAATACAGCACTGAATATAATATGGACTTAAAGGGATAAGATAGTTTCAATTGAGTACTTTGTGTACGGAGCTTCAAAGCAGCAGACGGAACTCACTCTCGTAAAGATTTTCTTCACGGATCAAGCAGCTTACTGACAGCCTTCTCGACGTAGACACGATTGCTCGATCAACTAGCGCCTCGTTGAAGACCCTCGTGCGAATCGAGACAATGACCCCAATCCGCAAATTGGCCGGTTTACTTTCGCCGTGGCGTATTGTTACGCAATTTCACCTTATCCGCTTACACTTGACCTCGCGCCTCGCTTGCTGATTTAATCATACATAGATATATGCGTAAACTAACACATGGGTTTTCCTAAAACTTTCGCTGCTAGTAATTCAATAGTGTAGTAATTCAACAGCAAAACGTGGTAAATATTTTGCTTAAGAGGCTATTAATGGGGCAGGCGTATCCTCAGTAATAAATTTTGATAGGCCGCAATGACGATAATGATGATGAAATATACCTTGTTCTTCTTTTATAACTTGCTTTTAACACCCTCCTTAAATATGTCTATGTACAGCATTTAGGTATTTTAAGAAGGATAACAAATATAGGCAAATTAAAATATTTGGTCATACTCACCGGCAGATTGTTGAGTGCAGGGCTAATACCCTCACGCTGCTAAAGTCACTCCTCATCGCCAGTCTTTAGGATTTGGGTTTGTCCTTGTCGAACTTTATATTTTTATTAAGTGCTAAAATTCCTTTACTGTGTAGAAGGCCTGTCTTAATCACTTTTAGTCATTTCTGACACCAAATAGCAGTGCGTGTACTGCTGTGCTCTCATCTGAAAGGTATAGAGAGAGACAATACAATTATAGGCTGTAAAACATTCCAACGTAGTGCTCAGAGGTGACAACGCGTCTATGTTTTTAACCATTAAGTTAAAACAACCCGATGCATATATTATTTTAATTAAAAATGATTATTATTACATATTGTTTTTATAAATCAAACAAATATATTTTATCGCGACATATCGAATACGTTTGCTATATAATCATTTGAAATTATAACATTTATAACTCTAGCTAAATAAGTAGGCTAAACTTAACGTTGAACTGTACCCAGTCCATATAACCTTGCCTTCACCTTACCTACAGAATATAGAATGAAGTTTGCATATTTACGAAACTAAAGACGTCTAATTAGTTAGGGTCAGATTGAATATTTTGACAAGCTTTTCGTATTTTTTTACAGTAAAAATGGATGTAAGTGTGAATTGGTCTACTCCTTAGGGTATATACAAAAGCATAGCTTGCTTATGTTGTATACTCTAAAGTTTACACTCACTATGAGCTTTCCACTTGGTGACTAATTGTAAGTTTTTTATTAAAAAATTGCAAAATTAATTAGAAAAAATCTCATTCACCAATCTAAGGTATTCTGTAATCTTAACCTTCGAACAAAATTAGTTTGGAGAAAACATCATCATTTCTTCTTGAGATATACGTGACGAAATGTTTACTACGTAAGACAGACATCCATATAAAACAGTAGAACAGGATACGTCTACTCAACGTTGAGGTATTCGTATTATGTTAAAATGTGTAATGTAATAAAAAATCTATTGCATATTACCTCCAAAATGGGAAGTTAATGATGATTATTACTTTACTGCTCCATTTCTTACACTATACCAGCCTACCGATACGGTTGGAAGCTATCAACTACGTGGTCATCTTTTTTTCTTCTTCTTCTTCCATTCCAATCTTCCATTGGACGAAATTTCCTTAATCGCCACATTTGATAGCGATCGCGTTACTCGTCTCGTATCTTTATCGCTGCTCAACGTCTTCTGTTTAAATATTTTACGTCTGGCGTAAACTAGATTGTTTATGTACAAATTGTGCCTACAATTGATATGCATCAATTTGAAAATTTCGTTGACGTGGCGTGGTATACATCCTACTGCTGTAGCTTAAAGTTACAGCCTATATACGTTCCACTGCTGGGCACAAGCCTCCCCTCGTTTCTGAGAGGGTTTTAGGTCAAGGAAGTGTCCGCCGCGCTGCCCCAATGCGTGTTGGCGAACTTCACATGTCTTCCGAAATATTTTTTTCTTGTTCCTCAGACATGCAAGTTTCCTCACGATGTTTTCCTTCACCGCCAAGCACGTAGTAAATCAGCACTTAAAATTGCAATTAACAATTTCATTGGTACCGGCGTGTGATCGAACCCGGGTTACTCGCGTTCTGTTATATTTACAGCGAGCGTTAACCATCTGAGTTACCACGGCACACTGCTGTAGCTTATTCAGCTAAATTACAAGTTTTCTGAAGATTTGATTTACAAAAGTTTTCGAATTCCTAAATTAAGCACGAAAACATAGATCACATAAGAGTGAAAATGCACTCTCACGACTAACTATAGAAAATAAGAATATTACTACGTAATATTACGACTTTTTGAGAAAATTAAACTTACCCAACTGCGATTCTCTATTGTATTCGCCTTATTACTCATAATGTACTCGGAGCTATCAACTACTTGGAAATGTTGGAATTCCCAAAGAAATATCTAGAATCAAAGTTAAAAAACAACAACGAAGTACATATTGCATAGGTGTTGACATTTTAATGAGTCTTACGTTAAGAAGCTGAATTGAGATCTTAATGTATTCTATTAACGAGAATATATTGTGAGCACCGGTTTATGACGTTATCTAAATGTGTTTCATAAATAATACTTAACCTCCATCGCACAATATAGTTTGTTTTGATTAGAGTATTTCATTTCCTCGCTCTTTATCTCTTCCTTATACGCTTTAGAAAAGCGAGATTGTTCTCCAGTATTCCCCATACCGTGCGAGTTTTAAATGCATACATTTGTTCACATATTATAATTATGGGTTATTAATAGAGTATTCTCATAAGGTTGGTCAGAATAAATATATAAAATAAATGATAAATATACATAAATATACATTTAATATCCTAACATAAATAAATAAATAATATATAAATAAATAAAAGCCCAACCAGACGGAAGCCCTCGGCAGGGGTGACCAAACTGCCGAGGGTCAGGGGGAAAGGGAAAGAAACTGGCCGACGATGCGGGCGGTATTAAGGAGCACCACCTTCAGCATTTGAGCCTGGAGCGGTCCGTCACGGAGTCGCAACCGCCTCAGATGACCCAAGAGGCTGACTGGGATTAGCCCGTTTGCAGATACGGCTACAGGAATAATTTCGGTCGGCAGACTACGCCACATGTCGGTCACCTCGTGAGCCAGGTGTAGATATTTTGTTTGCTTATCTGTTTTAGCTTTCACGAGGTTCTCGTCATACGGAATGTTAATGTCAACATGTGTGACAGACTGACATTTGTCCCAGCAAACGCCAACCTGACTGTGCGCACAATCCTTAACTTGTCTGAAGCATATCAGTCTGCGTATAAGAGCCCTATCCTTTGCGATACGTTCCTCAATTCTTATTCTTCAGGCTGGCATAGCGCTATTTTGTATAGTAGCGAGCCCAGCCGTGGAAACCTTGGCACATAATACGACAGACTGCCAGTGCGGCGCCAATAAGAATTGAGTCCGTCTCGCAAAGGTCCCGGCTGGCTTCCAAATAAGTCACCACCATTGGGTTCAGAGCCGCTTCCGCTTGCTTAGGGCTATGCGGAAAAGTTGCGGCCGATTTTCAAGAGGCGTACTGCGCATTTCCACAATCGCCTCTTCCAAAGTATTCCTCATTTGCTCTAGTTCTAGTTCCTGGATGACTGCTCCATTATCCTTTGAATCAACCAATACTGGAGTATTTACGGCGGCATCCATGTGTTGGGGTTGCTCTGCAAATTGTGGCGTCGCATCCTCAGCCGTAGCATTTTCATTTGGTGAGGAAACAGCCTCACGTCGTAGCCGTTCGAGTTCGGCGACATCATTTATATTTGAACGCAAGATATAACGAACTCGGTCTACCAGGTTTTGCTCTGTGACGGTTATAGATGGCTTCACCTCAGCAAAAAGACGATGCATCCTAGCCCGATACACGAAACCTCCAACTTTCATACATCATCCATTTTAATGGGCATCATTTAACGGGAGACGCCCAGACCTGGCGCTGTTTCATGGTGAGGCCATGTACACAAGCGGACCTTTGCACCTTCAATTTTTGCCGAGGCACGGCGCTAACCCCTCTTGGTAAGGTACTGACTGACTGCGCTGACGTAGCAGTTTTGTCACATAAACGTTGCGTCGGCGGGCGATGGGGTCATTACTTCCCTACGGCTTATTATTATTATTATTATTAGGCCTTTATTGGTTATACTATTGTGGCGGTGCTGTCGTCGCGCCACAAGCGAAACACACCGAAACCTAAATCACGCTATCAAAATTCCGAATCATAAACAGTATACATGTATATAGAACATCTCCGAACTATCACACGGAGTGTAGGCCGCTCTCCGGGCAGAACACCTTGCCCGGCGGGAGATCTCCCCTTTTCCTTTCACGGCCACATTGGTAACCCCGACGTAATCTGAACACGCAACCAACAACCTTCTGAAACTTCAAGCTTCATCATCGTCATAGAATATTCCCCACTCTCATTCGCTCCGACATACATAATAATGTTTCTATACATAGTAGCAACATGTTTTAACTTATAATCCAGCACATCGTATTTCCCGGTTTGGTGGGCAGCATATATTGACATATAGGTCTCTTACAGCTCTTTTCGTCTTTTTCTATTGTTAGCTTTTCTTGCCCAGTTTGTCCCTTCAATAATCATGGTATTGTCTATCCATCTTCTGACTTGTCTTTTCTTTTGACGTTACGTAGTTGCCATTCCGTCATTATTTTTTGTCCATTTGATTATTTCAAGTGATTTCAAGTGTCATCCCTTGTCATGTGTTCCGTCCATTGATATTTCAAGTGTCGTATTACGTATTTGCTTAGCCAAATGTAGTCTATTTGGAGTACAAGTATATTTCAATAAATAAACAAGATAATAACAGTAATTTAGATTATATGTAAACAAAGCATAGTCACCTACATTATATAGTACTAATATTTTTTCCCGTCTATTTAGGAAAATAGCTTTATCATATTTACCACTTCAATTGTTTGTTGCTTTTTTAAGTAACGTACAGTATAATCAAGAAACCTTTAATTATAAACAATATCAAGACTTAAAATCAATGCAAATAAAAAGAATTGAGTGCAATTTTACTGCGACACTGGTTTTTCAAACCTGTAAACATTAACATCTTCCACGTTTAATTATATTGAGCGAAATAGTTTAAAAGTTTTAGTATTGTATAAGTTGATAACTGACACATAGTGAAAGCCAGCTCACCTCATTCTTTAAAACACGTACCGTTTTTGTTCAGAAAAGCTAAAAGATTAACGGTGACATCGCTACGCTGCTCAGGTGCCCGAATTCTTTTATTTTTATTAAGATTACAAACGAGCACATAGTCCACCTGCTGGTAAATGGATGCTGTGACAAGTAGATACATATAGCCATCGTTAATTAACTGAAAATGCAGGAGCGTTTTATAAAAGTGATCTCGAGTCTTTATGCATAAAGCTGCTGTTACGCTAATATTTAGTGAGAGTGTGGACCTCACGCGTTTTGTTCTTATAAGGCATAAATTTCAGTTAAGCAATTTATTACTACCAGCATCGTGTTTCAATCTACGTATAAAAATTTATTGGGAAATTCACAAATAAATGTTTCCATTTTTCGCGTTCACATTGTAAAAAACAAATATGACGCTATTTCATATCGCATTTTGACCAATACAAAAAATAACTGAATACGATTGTGTACACAAAAATTCAAGGGGTGCTTTATCGACGAAGGGCGATTTTATTTTAAATTCGTATGCTTTTTTGTGTTTCCATCAATTTCTCATGAACGTTATCACTGCATACAAAATGTTACTTGACTCTTTGATAATTTCACATATGGTCGTTTCTGTATTACTATAAAAAAATCACTCATTCACACTCACTCCTGAGGTGCAGTTACACCGAAGTGTCTTGGCCTTTGACACGAGAACATGCCAGTTGTCATCAGCTTGAAGCGTTGCTCCAGCGATATTTAGAGCGATCAACTGGATTTCCGCCAGTCGGTTAACTATAGGAACCACCGGAGGCGATGTTCATTTATTTATCTAATAATGATTGACTCGGCCGTGAGTTCTCTTTTTGTTTGGAGTTTTCAGATTTTTCTTTCGGATACCAATAGGTTGTTGCTGAAGCGTATAAAAAAATACTTTTTTTAAAAAGTGGCCAAACACCTTGCCACCAAAAAAAAATTATATGTTTTTAAAAATTTAAAACAAAAAGAGCTGATAATGTCCAAATGGCTGAAACGGTTTTCTTGAATCCTAGCTAAGAACACTCTCGATCAAGTCACCTTTAAATAAAAAAAAAATTAAATCTAAATATTTTAATCTGTTTGGGAGCTACGATGCCGCAGATACACAAAAACACAGACATAATTTTTCGTCGGGGGTTAATAAAAGGAAGGCCTTTGAAAAGCTGTAATGATGATTGTAATGATCATGATTGTTATAATAAAATTGTCCACCTAATTCTAATGCATCCAGGATGTATCATATTGCATGCCTTAAGCGCAAAACGCGTGGGTATGTTCTACTAGAGCCTAAAAATCCAGAATCCAACGTTTTGTCGTATGAAATCGTATTTAACAATCATATTGAACATATAAATGATATAAAAAGTACATTATTAGAAAGATAAATGATTGTTGAACTTATTTATGTTATGTATGTATGTGTTACCAATGAATTATTAATTGCAATTTTAAGTGTTGGTTTACGGCGTGCTAGGCGATGAAGGAAAACATCGTGAGGAAACCTGCATGTCTGAGGAATAAGAAAAAAATATTTTGAAGACATGCGAAGTTCGCCAACACGCATTGGGGCAGCGCGGCGGATACTTCGTTGCCCTAAAACCCTTTCAGAAATGAGGGGAGGCCTGTGCCCAGCATTGGGACTTTTATAGGCTGTAACTTTACTAACTTATTCAATACATATAAAAATAGTTGTGCACTATGTTCCGGAACTAAAAGGACTAAAAGGATTTTCCATCAATCTTAAAGTACACATAAATGCTGAATTACCTACCACTTTTTTATACTATTAATTATTGAACTAACTACAAGACAATCGTTTTAACTTGTTTTTAGGTTATTGTGTTATTCATATTTTAATTGTTAATTTCTCAGTATTCCCGTTAGATGTGGTAAAACTGATATCCCTATTGTAATATATAGACTTTAGGGAATAAATCGACATGCATTTCATTAAGTTACGCCATATTTCGTGGTGGCTCCATTCTCCATACAACAATAAATTGTCTCCTTTGATTCATACTTGACCAAGGTAAGATATTTTTATTACTTTCATAACCACAGATTTTCATTACATATATCTTTTCACTAAAAGTATGTAGGATTTATATATAAATATACTTATACGTCTTGAACTTTATGAAGTGACCTAAATTTAAATACTGGTTACGACTTGATGAAAAACTTTTTGAAAACGAAATAAATGATTTCTTATATTTACGCGAACACTACACATTGAAATAATACTAGTTTTCACGGAATTTATTGCGTATATTTAACTTTTTAAATACCCGACGTTTCGAACGGTTTACAGCACTCATGGTCACGGGCGGGACTAAGATGTTCAACATCCATATGTCATAGTTAACCGCGGTTACTATAGATTAAAATTTAACTTTTGTTCCGATCTATACATTATGAACTTATGGTACGAGTATCTTGAAATCAAAAAACATCCTAATTTCAATAGAGAAGATGGCTGGGTGCTACCAACTGCTTGGGATCCTATAATAAATAAAATTAAATCCCAACCCAAGCATACAACTGCAAGACTTCAAGATACCATAAGTTCATACTGCATAGATCGGAACAAAAGTTAAATTTTAATCTATCGTCGTGGTGTCGTGGCTATATGTATCTACTTGTAACAGCATCCATTTACCAGCAGGTGGACTATGTGCTCGTTTGTAATCTTAATAAAAATAAAAGAATTCGGGCACCTGAGCAGCGTAGCGATGTCACCGTTAATCTTCTAGCTTATCTGAACAAAAACGGTACGTGTTTTAAAGAATGAGGTGAGCTGGCTTTCACTATGTGTCAGTTATCAACTTATACAATACTAAAACTTTTAAACTATTTCGCTCAATATAGTTAAATGTGGAAGATGTTAATGTTTACAGATTTGAAAAAGCAGTGTCACAGTAAAATTGCACTCAATTCTTTTTATTTGCATTGATTTTAAGTCTTGATATTGTTTATAATTAAAGGTTTCTTGATTATACTGTACGTTACTTAAAAAAGCAAAAAACAATTGAAGTGGTAAATATGATAAAGCTATTTTCCTAAATAGACGGGAAAAAATATTAGTACTAAATAATGTAGGTGACTATGCTTTGTTTACATATAATCTAAATTACTGTTATTATCTTGTTTATTTATTGAAATATACTTGTACTCCAAATAGACTACATTTGGCTTAGCAAATACGTAATACGACACTTGAAATATCAATGGACGGAACACATGACAAGGGATGACACTTGAAATCACTTGAAATAATCAAATGGACAAAAAATAATGACGGAATGGCAACTACGTAACGTCAAAAGAAAAAGACAAGTCAGAAGATGGATAGACAATGCCATGATTATTGAAGGGACAAACTGGGCAAGAAAAGCTAACAATAGAAAAAGACGAAAAGAGCTGTAAGAGACCTATATGTCAATATATGCTGCCCACCAAACCGGGAATTCACCAACTTACAGATTGGCTCAACACTTAGCGAAAATACTCTCGCCGCTCAGGGGACATACAAGAGCACACATAAAGGATTCCTACCATTTTGTCAGCGAGATTAAAGACCTACATCTGGCAGACAATGAAACTATGGTTAGTTTTGATGTGCAGTCATTGTTTACTTGCTTACCTGTTG